ACCCTCATTAAAGTCACAATATGTTACGAAAAGTCAAGGATGCCACCAAAGAGGAAGGATATGGAAATAATTTATACCTTACAAGGTAGTCTTGTAGGAGGACACAAAGAGGACTCAAACGTATGAGAAAATAAGAGCATGATGTAATTGGCCTAGCATATATAACGTTATACTAGATTATGTAAGAAATTACTAGATTATCTAAACTGTTTAGAGAAAAATATCGTCTGTCATAAAATTCAAAATCCCAAGGTAATAACCGACACGCCAATAGAGGCGTTTGATAAGGTATCAATCGACACTATGGGTAAATTGCGAAGCACTCCTAGTGGAAACTATTATTTACTAATTACGCAATGTAATCTAATGAAATATTTACATAATTATCATTCGCTTCCAAAGCTACTACTATATATATATATAGTTGATGCATATAGTTGATATATTGGCAGTACATCTGATACGTCAATTTGGAATTCTTAAAGCCATATTTTTGAATGGTTTATTTATTCAAAATCAGCTACCTAACTACCTCGGGCTACAGGCCTCAAACCAATGATTCGCTCAAAAGAAGTTATGGTCCGTTGATTCATTGACTTCGTTCGTATATATTTTGAAAACTTTAACGACTGGGACCGCTTAATGCCTTTCTCCGTCTTTACATATAATACGAGTTTACATAAATAGCCCATTCGAATTAATCTACGGAAGAGTCACCCGTTTTCCGATGAAAATATTGCGTGAAGAAAAACTTAGAACTTACAATCAATACAAGGTTCTCAGGACTTTATTTTATAGTTGACCGAGTTATCAAGTCAAAAATAGCCACTGAAAAAAAAACAAATATGTGAGAAAAAATAACTTAAAAGAACGGTATGATCGATATATTAAGATTTTTAATGGGAAAGTAGGTGATTATGCATGAATATTAAATGAACCTAAAGTAGGCAAGGCTGACAGTTATTACATACACCTCTTGAATATTGTGGAAGTACTAAATTAGAAAAACTTATTGTTAGATTTACCAAACAGAAGGAGGATACGTAAACACGTGGATAAATTAAAATTATATTTTATTTTTCATAATTGAATCGATCTTTATATTTCACCTTTACTATCATGTATATTTCAGGTCTTTATCTTTTCTAATAATATGTAAAACCTTTTCTTTCTTCTTCTGCTCTTTATTCTTATTAATTATATACTGCTCTTGTTAATTATATTTAACAAGTAATACGATCATACAAAATTATCAAATTCTATTCCAAAACTGTAGCCAACATCTCGACGAGGCTACCTGTATTAATATACTTGAAAAGGATATGCTTGACATGAAAACTGCAATATTAAACAAAATACAGTTTATAATTATTGAAACTATTGATAACTAGAAAACTAATTCTATTTGAAAAAAATTGACATGCTTAACCACAGCTTATGTGGATTAATAACCGTGGATGAGATAGATAAAATATACGTTAATATTAATCCACTGTATTAGGATCATAGGTCCACCCTTTAACTTTTCAATCATAGAACTCATATAATCATGACTGTAATAAATAAAATCTATTATATAATAGATGTACAAGGAGATAAAATTTATAAGTTAAGCAGCCAAGTGCAGCAAATTTTGTGAAATTAGGAAACGAGGAAACGCAATAAGAATGCATGATTGTGGTAAAATATTTAGGACGATTGAGAGAAGCCGAATTGGACCATTTCATTAAAGGCTCTGAAAGGCTGCGAAAAATGATTCGTGCTATAAAAGAAGGAAAAATACACCCAGACTTAATAGACTCGAACGTCTTGCACCAGATAGACAACGATATAAAAAAAACAGTAAGAAATCTAGACTTCCCGATTTCTATTCAACATCGCATAATGGAAGATATCGCCAGAGTTTCAACAGTCGTCACATTATATAGAGATGGAAGGACGTATTTTGTTCTGCATCTACCTTTAATGGATAGAAATTACTATAACCTATACCGGTTACACTCGCTATTGGTACCCGAGACACCAATCGTGGCTGGAAAATCAGCGTACATAAGACATAATTATCCGTACTTGGCTTTAAGCTCGAACCAAAAACAATATACGAGGTCTGTTCGGAAAGTATCGGGCTTATCTTTATATTTTCGTGCTAGCGTTATTCTTTATCATCCGGTGGGTGGCATCCTTCAAAGTAATCCCCACTTGATTGAATAACACGGTTCCATCGATGTTTCCACTTTTCAAAACAGTCCTGAAACTCACTTTTAGCGATAACCTTAAGTACACTCGTCGCATTGTTTTCAACCATTGTTTTGTCATCGCATCGGTGTCCTTTGAGTGGTTTTTTAGTTTTGGAAACAGCCAAAAGTCACAAGGAGCTATGTCGGGACTGTATGGAGGTTGTCGAAGCAATGCGATATTGTGTTTGCTCAAAAACTGCTGCACAAGATTGGATGAATGCGCTGGCGCATTACCGTGATGGAGAAGCCAGTCACCACTTTCCCAAAAGTGCGGCCGTTTTCTTCTTACTGCATCACGCAAACGTTTTAAAATTTGAACGTAGTATTCTTTATTGATTGCCTGACCTGTTATATATATAACAAGCAATAACATGAGTAGACAAATAAATATTATCAAATTAAAAAGCGCTTTTAAGGACTCTGTTGACATTACATGCAAAGAACGTGATAAAAATTGTAATAATAGCACAAGACGACACCATTTGCGAGTACGATGAGATCATACTACTTAGTAGTATTATTTGAATGCTAGAGCGCTAGTTTGATTGATGTGAGCCCACTGTGGTTTATAAGAAAACATACCTTCAATGTACTTACAATTTACTTCAATCTGACACGTGTAATTTCTACGTATTAGACCTACAATTCAGTCAAAATTCTCTCCTTTTTCATTTGGATTGCTGAATATGACGCAAAATTTCACGGTATAAATACATTTAGTTTTACCACAAGCCATTCATTGTCGAAATTTTAACGTGAGTGCAAAGTAACTAAAGAAAATGTAATTTATTGACAGCATTTTTTACTTTTATAACTTGGTTTTTATTTTATTCTTTGTAACAGTTGAGCAATTTTTTACTTATTTCATTCCACTGATGTGAATTTTTTAATTTTTGTACTACTGTCTACTGTCTTTTTTGCACTCCCTATGCCTCCTCATGGGCTTTTAGGGCACGTCACTTACCACGGTAGTGTGGGAGGTGTTTCTTTTTTCCCATCCTTAACTTGCGTTTTTCTGAGAAGCCTTCGGACTACTATATACATATATAGTAGTCATAGATGCTCTTGTTTCTACTGCGTGATTTTATTTGACGCAACCCCCTATAACTAACCGGGCTTGTCAGTTTCCTGTTACTGGACCTACAGTTTGATGGTCAATAATTTACATTCTGTAACCCAGTGGAATCCGAACCACTGCGAGAACCGCGGTGTTGATTTTTGGTACATACACTTTTTTCTTGCGAAAAAAGTCATGTTAAGTTTGGTACCCGCCGGAAATCGAACCCGGGACCCCTGCATGGAAGTCCCGCGCTCTATCCACTGAGCCATCACGGCACTTTTTTAATTTTTGTATTTTTCTTTATGAAGGTACATTCACGTATTAGTTATTTGAATATTGGTATTTGTGTTGTTGTTTAAATTGTGATTACATATTGTTATATATTATTCCAGCCTTGATGAGAGGCGTTAATTATACTTTCGGCGAAAATTTCTTGAATTGTAATAAAGTACTTCTGCTCAGAAGTACCCGGGTAAACAAAGTGAATCTGTTTGATTATACCTACACGTTCAATTTAACAATTTTTATTCATTTTTATGATTAAAGGTTGCATTAATTAATTTACTTTATTATAGTGTGTTACAATTTATTATAATAAATTGTAACACACAATGAATTGTAAAATATCGGTAGTGTAATTTGTATGTATATTTTTTCGATTATTAAAAAACAATTAATTGCTTTTAATAAGTTAAAAGATAAAAATAAGATACTAATACAGAATTAATGTAACTTTTGCATGTTGCAAATCATGATTAGTGAATATGAATATATCAATTAAACGCAGAGATGAAGTATAGATTATGATTCATAAACTGTAGAGAGTTATATGAAATAGTTGTTTTGACATTTTTTTTAATATGGGAAGAAATTTTCAACATACACCTGATTCAAATTAACTCAAAAAGACAGATAGCAAAAGTCAGCTAGCGGGCCAGAGGAGCTTGACTTAGATTGACGTAGTATGCGGAACGCTCGCTATTATCTTTCACTGTTTCTGATATAATGCCTTTTTAAGTAATTTTAATGTTCATTCTTATAGAAAAAAGTCTAAGGAATTCATCGGAAATGGAACTTTTTAATTGAAGATTTACTTATTGACATATAGCGATTTCTTTATCAAAAACGTTACTTACTTTTTGAATAATTTTGATAAGTATTAAAAAAATGATATGAATAGCTTTAACGACTGCGGAGATATAAATTTTTTTAAAATTACACTTAGAACAAAAAGTCTTAATTAAAAAAATTATTTATAATATTTGACTATGAGAATGGTTTAAAAATGTATTTTCGAGTTCATTGCTATAAAGGCAACATTTATACTAAGTTAAGAAAATCGGTTACCAACATTTCCGAAGTCTAGAACGTGCCAATCGTTTTTTTCGATAAAAAATGAGATCCTTGCATTTGCTAGCTACTTATAACATCTTAGATTAAACATCTTGCTAATTTAAACTTATTATTATGTATGTTTAACTAGACCCATTATTTTAAGTAACATTTTGGTCAAAGATAGAACTTCACTTTCCAAGATATTAGATGCAAAACCCAATAATTTTTAAACAGATATATGAGACGAAACCCTGAGAGAGATTTTATCTGAATAAAAAATAAGGCTAGTCATCAAGTTTGAATAACATCTATGGTTCAGAGTTGACAATATTTTTTCAATAGCTTATCATGGTGTCATTATTTCGTAGATACACGAATTGCCTAAGCCGTCCTTTACCAGCAAGACTTTGAGTGAATTAAGAATAGGTACATTTGAAAATATTGAAACAGCTACTGAAGAAACAAGTATAATAATAGCTTTAAAGAAATTTGTCGAAAGACGGGTATCAGCATTACCAATAATTGATAATGATGGAAAACTAGTCAACATCTATTCAAAATTTGATGTTATTGTAAGTTTCATTATTTATAAAAGCTATATTTTTATTGGAATTTATTATGTCTTTGAAATCAATGAAAATAAAATATGTACAATGCCATATTGTAAATTTAAGGGGTATCCTTCTATTTGCGCTTTTACCCTTAATATGTTTATTATGATAGTTTGTTCATTTGCTGGCAAGATTATTTTTCATAGTTTTTCACATTATGTTAATAATGTGTGCACTAAATGTAAAAAAGTTTCGTAATAAATAATAATAAAATATGCTATAAATTTATATCTAAAAATAAATCCCACTCGATAATTTGACGCGAGCAAACCTACTTGAATTCTTTGAAGTTTAAGTATCGTGTTATCATGCCTTTCGTACGTTTACTCATACACAAAAGAGATGTAAAGTCCGTAGCCACGTTAGTAGGTGATTAATACAAAATATAAAATAAAAGTTTTAATTTAAGTTGACCTACGAAGTTCAATGTCTAGCGTTAGATTTACCGTAGTATATTATGCCCTTTTGTATTAGTTTTTCTTCTTTGGTAATACATTTATCAACAATAGTTATCTATATTGATATTATTTAATATTAATTTTATTCGTGAAACCTAGTACGAATTCTTTAGTTTTCATCCTCCTGACTTCTACTATTCGATTTATAGGTCGGATCGTCCAGACAAATTGGACAATGCGAAAAATAAGCAAGACGTCTAACAGGATTCTCGGCAATGTTCTATTAAATGCACGTTCTTTGACACGCCAAGTATCCCTATAATTATGATTTTTTTGAAAACAAGAAAGTGACCGGATCATGAGCAATTCTTAGACATAGTATGCATATACCAAAAATGTCATTCGTCTAAATTTATCTTTGAATATGTCTAAGAAACGAAAATATATTGGTGGAAATGATCTCTTCCGAGTTATAATATAGAAAGAAAAGGGATTACATTTAACTATGTGTACTGATATGATCTGAACGAACTTATTGATCGACTACGATTGTTTGTAGCCGAACAAATAGCGTTTAATCGTAGCCATGTCAATGAAATTCAGTCAATCATTGAAGATTTACGTTAAGCAGGATATATCTATTAAGGTTCGATCTCTAAAGAGACTATCAGTATCATGATGAGTGTTGATGTGTTTGGACAAAAGTTCAAAAGTAGTAAGAAAGAGCATGTTGGCTCACGTGGACCTCCAGGATTTGGTTATAAATTGATAGAAGATGGTCAGTATGATGCAGGACTAAAAGATGATGTATAATACGAGGGTGGGTCAATAAGTCCTTAGGAAAAGATAGAAAAACAATTTTTTCTTGGTAAAGTTTTTTTTATTTTTCAATATAATTTCCTTTTAGCTTGATACATTTTTTCAGACATCTTTTATTTTAAGCCATCAGAAAAAAATAATTTGGGAAGTTCCTCAAAATAGCCATTTGTTTGTGTTATGATCTCCTCGTTTGAGATAAATCGTTGTCCGGCAAGCCACTTGTTTTAGATTTGGGAATAAAAAAAAGTCACTAGGTGCCAAATCTGGTGAGTGCAATGGATAGTCTACTAATTCTTCAATTCCTTAATTTTAGCCATTGAAACTAAGCAAGTGTACACTTGTGCATTGTCTTGATAAAACAGAATTATTTTTGTTTTGTTCAAATGAGGATATTTTTCCTTTATTTTCTCGCTTAACCGGTCCAACAACGACACATAATACTCACCGTTGATTGTTTTATAAATAGTACTTTTTATAAATCCTTTTTATAAATAGTCGACGAAGATAATTCCTCGTGCATCCTAATAAACAGTGGCCATAACCTTGCCGGCCGATTTCACTGTCTTCACCTTCTTTGGAGCTAGTTGACCTTTCACAATCCACTGTTTTTTCTGTTCCTTCATTTCAGGAGTGTAGTGGTGTATCTACGTTTTGTCTACAGTTATGAATCAACGCAGAAAGTCATTCGGATTACGCTGGATGCGTGCCAAGAGGGCCTCAGCGGTCACCACTCAACTGTGTATGTTCTCGACTGAGAGCAAACGCGGCACCCATCTTGCCGAAATTCTTCTCATGTTCAATTTCTCTTACAAAATCGAAATAACTGCACCTTTTATAACCATTATGGCTGCATCTGCAGTCGATGTACTGTCACGTTTAATTTACCCAAACCAATTGTAAACAGTTGCAATACAGGGGTAATAACACCATGAACTGCATCTGACTCAGCTTTAATTTCTTTCGGTGTAAAGCCTTTTAAATAGAAATGTTTTATCACCGCTCAGAACTCATTTTTTTCAACGATAAAAACGGAATTTCTCGATGGATCTGGCTGAAAAGTCGGCAGCACTTTATTTAATAGTGACGCTTGCTGGTGCAACATAAGTTGGGATGCTTTGAGCGCCATTTTTGGATTTTCTAAGAACTTATTGATCCACTCTCGTATTTATAATATGATAATTATTATAATAATGTAACTACATTATTATAATATTATTAATCTTTTCTTATTCTTTCTTATCTTTCACTGTTTTTCCGCAAACAGCGTTGATCATAAGCTTGGAGAAAAGTTTTTCAAACTCATTTGTAGCCTTCTTTCTTTTCTCTGTATTCGAATCTACGTCAGATTTAAGTAAGGGTTTTTAATTGAATTGTTCTATGTATATTTTTCAATTTGAAATCATATTTGAGGGCTTGCTATAATGCTCCATAACGGATAACGTAATGCTCTTTGTTATAGAGTGTAGTCAATAGCATTTTCTGTTTTAATCCTAGCAAAGATCTATGCTCAAAACATAAAGAGAGATCTTTATGACATTATGTAATTTTTCAGGATATTCAAGATCTACTTCTTAAATATATCTAACATCATTGTCGTCAAGGATATTGAAGAAATCGAAGTTATGAATGTTAGATTTGTGACGGGAGCAGGCGACGAGTTTTTGACGTGCGCCGCTCCCTCCACTTCCTCTGCTCTCGGCTAGCCTAGCAACCGACGTTGGGCGCATTCTAGAGTGTGCCTAATGCGATTTGTTTTCTTTCAGCGGCCAATAATGATTAGCGACCCGAGAGTGGGGCCAGCGAGGGCGACAATAAAAGTAAAGGAGAGAGAGCGACGAAAGAGAGAGAGATAGAAAAATAAGGGACAAATGCCGGTATACAACAGGAGATGCGTTGAGCGTTAAGAGAGAAAAAGAGTTGAGTGACAGTAAAGTAGGAGCAGTGAGGTACAGAGGAAGTGAAGAATATGTGGTGAATAAGAAGAAAGCAGTGAGTTAATCAACTAAGCACGCTATCGGCCAAGCGAGTGCGAGGAGTACGGCAGAGGTCGTAAGAGGAGAGCTGACCACGAGGAGCACGAAGCCGAGGAGGAAGCTACTCAACGGAAGATGACGACGTGTCTGTAAGGAAGGTGGCCCACCGCTTTCAACTCATCGAGGAGCCGCGGCAGATAAAGGTCAAGAGCTCTTCTAGATTCTCACTCTCTCTCTCTCTCTCTCGGTGAGTAGCGGCACACTAGTTTTTGAGGCGCTCTTCTTTTGCTAATATTTCCTTCACTCTTGACACTTCCTCGAGCGGCATACTTTTGCAGGTAAGTTCGTCCAGCTGGCCTCTGCGCTTTCTGCTAAAAATTCTTGGTTTTTAGTCAATGTTTTGGCCAGTGAATAAATTATTCGCTCGTCTGGTTATAACATAACCTTCACCAAATCACCAACTTTAACGAGTTTTCAAACTACACACCTCTGCCAACAACGCTAACAACAACACAGCTTCCACACCAGGATCACTACCCTCTACACATTACACACTGCACACCTTACTGACACATCTAAACTTTTGCTGCTAAGTACCTGTCAACAATTTTACCGTTACTACACACATTATAATCTACTAGGAGAGACTCCTCACTGCTGGTGTTATTTTTTGCTGCAGTACTTCTCATCACTAAATTGTCTTGCGTTTTAGTTATCGCGACGGCTATCCTATTTTACTTTTATTTTACTTTATCTTGTTTTGTTTTCTTTAATTTTAATTTTTGTTGTAATCTAGTGCTATCTACTCGCTATACAATTTTATTTTTAATTTTAATTTTAATTTTATTTTATCGACAATATCAAATCGTGTTCTTTTCTACAATTAATTTTATTTTAATGTAATTCCTGCGTTCGTTTTCATCAATCATTATTTTTTTTTTCGTTTTGTTTTTATGTAATAGTCTTTTTAACTTTCGAACTTTAGGTTAACTTGTGAATCCCTTTTCCGCCTTCTGTAAATGGCGTCATTTTACTCCCGAAGCTCCCACCAATTTTTATCTTTAACAAACAGAATTGGTGCCACTGCGGCGCCAATTTTCAAATTTAAAAAATTTTTTTAATTTCGACTTTTCTTAGCTTCTGTTTATAACTGGTCAGTGACTCAAATTTTCGCGTGAAATTTGAACATTTCAATTTGCCGTATCAATCTGTCCTTTATAAATTACGATTTTCATGTGAAGTTTTGAGATCCGAGGAGGAGAAACGGATAAAATTTGACACAATCTGTGAATTTTTATTATTTGTCATAATTCGTTCTTAATTTCCATACTGCTCATTTTTATCAAATGGTCTTGTCTTTATGCGCCGAGCATGGTGAAGCACTGAGTTGCCGGGGTGGCAATATCTCGCAGTGCGAAACTTGTGCTGGATTTTTCCATCAGCACTGTACTGACATAACCTCAAACCCTGTTCTCGCGATCTTTATTTGCTGTACCTGTTCTTTTGAGTCTGCGGTCTCGGCTAACCCTCGTCAAACCGGTGGCACGTTTTTACCATCACCTCCTTCCACTCAAATCGACTCTGCCCCAGCTGGCATCTTTTCTCTCGTCGAAGCCTCGGGTAGAAAGAGACAAGCGTTACCTTACGAGCTTTTCCCGTCGAAGTCGTTGAAGATGGAATCGCGGAGTGATTTCTTAAATACTGCCCGATCGGTTGCCCTTCCCACTGTTCCTTCCCCCAGTTCGGATCAAATCCTCTTGCTCGATAGTAT